CGCTTGAGAAGCGGGTACGGGCGCTTCTGGCAGCTGCTGGAGACACAACGCCTTCCGAGCTTCCCGGGGAGCCTCCCGTGACCTGGCCCAAAACGTCTCTGCCCCGCTGGTTCTCCACTTTCCTTCCTGGCCTCTCCTCTACCCCCGCCAGGCCTGAAAGACTGCTCACTGTTGTGTTGGAGGTGTAAGCGCTGGGCGTTCTGGAGAACTGCAAGTGGGCACGCTGCAGCTCCTGAGCGTGCAGCTGGAATCGACTCTGTTGTATAATCGGTCACTGAACAAGTAGAGGAGTGCCTGATGAAGGACGGGATGCTCAGCAGTAAGCTAGCTTCACATCACAAGCTCCCACTGACATGTTTTTAACCACACGCAAATATTCCTTCTATTGGGGATCCTGTTTTGTTATTTCAATACAGCTCAGGTTGGCGTAACCAAGGGTGTGATGAGGTCGGTTCAGTGTCTTCGCAGTATTTACAGACTTACTACTGGTATTTAGCGGCATCTGCGCAACCATTGTGCATTTTTCACCTGTGTAAGTTGTCTCATTTTGTTGGATTTATGTTTTGCAAAGTTACATTAAAGTTCCATATTCCACTGGCTTTACTTCTCACCTGCAAGAAGGGATTTCTTTGAAGCCTGTGTTTATCCTTCTTGCAGTAATCATTCCACATATTCCATTATCCTGCCAAAGCGATTGTCTCCTAATAACTTGCTAAGAGTTCTGTAGTTGGCCTTTTGCTTCATCAGTACTAGGTGTCTTTGAAATGTATAAAAAGGATAGTAGTGTTATCATGGTGGCCTATGCATGTAAGTGTGAAAGGAGAGGAAGAGGAGTATCTTTATTTTTTTAACCTGGTTGTTAATACAGGGTGAGCTAAGTTTATATCTATAAAGTATATATATGCCAAAGTTATAGTTACCCATAATAACGCTGATAGGCTCTGTGCTTACCAGCAACAGTGTGTGTGCATGGTCTGATAGCTATGTGCAGCACTACTGTATTACAGTACATTTCTCAGTATATCTGGAAGAAATTATTGAATGCTCTTCAGAAGAAAAACATCTTTTTGTGCAATCACTCTTATACTCTTTTGTACCGTGTATAGAAAATCTTTTTCACTTGCTGCATACGGGTGATATTCTTGCTAAGTGCAAAAATGTATCCCTGGCAGTCTTGGTGTACTTCAAGCTACATGTGACAGAGTGTAATCTAGACAATGTTTTCTGGTATGCAAAGGCTAGACCACAGAGCAGCACAATTATGTGATAGGAAAGCTTTGAATCACAACTGCAGCTAAGATTTTTGGTATTCAGACAGGTGACTCTTGGCAGTCCAAGATTAGGTATTGACTCTTGTGTCAGATATATGTGAAGGTGTTGGTGTTCAAACCTATTGTGATCAGGAGGAGTGAGAGCAAACTCAGCAGATATTGTTGAAGCAGAATTCTTTATCTGTGATTTAACCTAGATAGGTTTGGCTTTCTGGGTGTTGCCTGAAGCATCGCTTTCAATGTTAGATTAAGCAAGAGTAGTTACAAAATATCATCTAGTATTTTGGGGGTACTCTGTGCATTTTTGGGGGCAGTGCAAGTGAGCTCTGGCCTGTTACTGACTTTCTTAGCAACTGCTTTAAGCAGTTCAGAGCCCACTGGTGCAGTTACCAAGCACGTGGGAAATCTTGGGTGCTGAACTGGATTCTGCAAGAACTTAAGAATGAAGCATGGGAAATGCTACAGTTTGTTGCCGATAGCCAACAAATGGACCTGCCTGAATGGAGTTCCTATGGCTAGCAAGCGCTGTTTGCTTCCTGCTATCACCTGAATTTGATAGGTCCCTAGAGGAGGGCTGCATGTGAACCAGCTTGGGGTAAATTGTTAGTAGTGCTCTACAGAAATGTCAGAAACATATTTGAGCACCTGATGACTTCAGCAAAACTGCTGAAGACTGTTGGTAAGTTTGGCTGTTGACCAGCAGTTAGCAACTTGCAAGCTGATGGTCAGTAGTTAGCTTAGTGTAACTGTGGCACGCTGCTCAGGCCAAACAGTAGTGGCATTGAAGAGATCATAAATACTAACTCTGAATAGCACGTTCATCTTGTCACTGGAAACAGTTGGCATGCTGGCTCTGCAGGCAGTTGGTCAACGGCTTCAGTCCTTTAGAGGCTTAATTTATAAAAGAAAGTTTTCATTATGTTTACATCTTAAAACCAGGCAAAACAGTTGTGCTCAAAATCACAGAAGCAACATTAAGTATGCGTTGGTTTTGCAGTACTGGTTTGAAAATCCACATTTGTACTTTGCGTCAGATGGAGACAACTTACCATTATGATACAGCACCTGTTTTGTCAGTCTGTACTTGTGGTATGTCACAGACAAATATGTACATCCCTTCAGCAGATGTCTGTAGCGCACTTTTTTCCCCCCGTAAACAACAGTTGTATGTTAGACCTTAACGGTAGTTAATTGCTACATATAAATGGAACAGTACTTCTATTTACCTTTCTGTTGCTGTGGACGTTTGACGTGATGTAAGATTGACAGGGAGTATGCAGTTCTCGGTTCTGCGATGCTTGTCAGTTAAAATTTATTCTGATACAAGTACAGGCTGTATCAGGATCAGTTTTAAGCTTGGGCAAACTAGGCAGATGTGTACGGGAGCAGACTGCTAAACTTGACAAAAATCGTGGCCATAAAGCACCCACGAGGTTCTCTGGCCGTGGCTCGGTGCTTGCCCTGTGCAGAGCAGCCTCTCTGAGCATCGTCTTTGTGGAGAAGTGCTCTTGTTACTCTTCTGCTTCCTACATACCCAGCCTGCTATGTGGCTGCCTCCTCTCTTCTCCTGCTCCTGGGAAGACAAGTGCTGCCACAGAAGTGTGGCGTTTTTTCCATGCCAATAATGAGGGCAAATAAGGTTTTCATCTTCCTTTTTGTGAGTGACGAATTTCAATTCTCCATATGCTTCTGAGACTGTGTCAGCTATGACTGTTTATTACAACCCTGCCAAACCTTACATGTTTTTCATAAATTAGTGAATGGATAGACAGCTTATGCAACTGAAGGTGTTTTTTTCTTAATAGATTTCTGCAGTATGGAAAAAGCCTTAATGCGGATAATGTACTGTGCTTCTGAGCCGTAGGCCTACATTTCCTCTTGGAAGTAGACTTTCATCAATATCCAGTGTTTTGCATACGTACAAACATTTAAAAAACAAAGTTTGAGGAGCTAGGAAACTTTAAATTTGTAGACTTTCCAGATTTGATGGCTTTATTTGAGTAATACTAAAAGAAAAGACTTTCTAAGCCAAAATTCTGTGCATTTGCTTTTGAAAAGCTTTTATATTGGTTTACTTTCATTATTATCAGATTAAATACAAATAACTTGTGAGTAGCTTTTTTTTTTTTTTCCCTAATCTTAAATCCTCAACTTTAAAAATAAAAGGCAGTTTGTGGCTTGTGAGCTTTACTTAACTGACTTAAGTGCATGCTTGAAAAATTTTACTTAAAATCTCCTAATTCCGTGCATTGCTATACAGACAGGCCTAAGATCTGGCCTTATCGAACCTCCAAACCTTTTTATGGTCTTACAGATTGTTCCATGTGTGAGAAATTGAACATGACCTCATTTATAACTTGAAACTTGTTCTTTCCAGTAGAATTTCCCTGCAGCCACTGAGTCTTGCAGATGTAGGGGCTTGCTTTCATGCAACTTGTGTCTGCTGGAGGCCCTCTGTTTATGGAAAGTAATTTTCTAGGCAGCAAACATTAACTTTGCCTCAAATTCTTCTCCCTATAGGAAGCTGCACAAGCCTTGATTTATGCTGGGATGGCAGGGTCCAACTTGGAAAATATTCAAGAAAAAATAAATGAGTACTTGGAGAGAGTTCAAGCTCTCTATTCAGCAGGTGGGTAAGGAGCTTTCTAATTAAACCTCTGCTTAAATTAATTGAGTGGAAAACCTTTCGGTGCTGTGAAAATTGTATCAATGATGTTTGCTCTGTTTTTCATTATTCTAAATTTCTTGTCCTTTGTGAAGGACCGCAAATACAATGAGCACATCAGTGCTTTGAATTCTGATACATCAGAAATGAAGCCGAGACTTACTTCCTAAGGACTTGGCTGTGGGTATTCTTTCCTTTTAAATATTCTTAGGAATCATATCTGTAGAGCAAACCTGAGAAAGTAATTAAATATAGCAATGAAAATTGATCAGGAACAAATCAAAACTTGCGTTTAAGCCTCAGCTGCATGATGGATTTGAAGCAAGTGGGTTCTGCTATTTATGTAGAATTACTAACTTTGAGAGAGCAAGAGAGCTCTTTGCTGTCATAAGGGTTTCCTTGTTTGATCCAGTTTCAGTGTTTATGTTTACACCAAAATCTCATATTTTTGCACACCTGCAATTCTCAGTTAGTCATAGAATTACTTGGCCAAAAAGGGACCTTGGGAGGTCTATACACCAATCTGCTGCTCAAAGCAGGGTAAACATTGATTTTTGGACCAGGTTGCAGCGGTCCAGTCAGGTCCTGAAAATGCCTAAGTACAGAAATTCCCTGGTGCCTCTGGGCCCCTGTTCCAGGGTGCGATTGTCTTTCTAGTGTTCTTTTTTTTTGTATATACCTGGTTGGAGTCTCCCCTGTTTCAGTTCATAACCGCCGGCTCTCATTCCTATTCTTTGCACCACAGTGAAGAGCCTGAATCCATTTTCTTGATAACCTCGCAGTTACTGGCAGGTTTGCTATTAGGTTCCCCCAAAGCCATCTCTCTTCCTGGCTGGACAAGCCGTGGTCCCTCAGTTTCTTCTCAAAAGGCCAAGTCCTCCAGCCCCAACCATCGTTAGGAACACAAGTTTGGATGCAGTAGTCCAGATACAGTCTACTGGGTGCCGAGTAGAGGGTGGTAATCGCTTCCCCATCTCCTGGCTGTGCTCCTGCTGACACAGCCCAGGGTGCAGTTAGCCTTCATCACTGTTAGTCTGTCGCAGACACAGGGCATAGCATTTGTCCTGATTGAATTTCCTGAGATTCTTGTCAGCCCATTACTGTGGCTTGTCTGTGTCCCTTTGAATAGCAGCTGTGTCCGTGAGTGAATCAGTTTGGTGGGGCGTGCGGCCTTGAGGAGGGTGCACTCCATCTTCTCCTTCAGGTCTTTAATAAAGGTATTAAATGAGACAGACACCTAAGGAACCTGTATATTACCATAGGTGAGGTGTTTTCAGAAATATTTTACATAATTAAACATCCTTGTCCTTAGCATATTATGAAAGTGATTTTATTTACGTTATTTGACATTTGAAATATCCTGAGAGCGTATCTCTGCTTTGGGGGTTCATGGTGGTCGTGGTGTTTTCTTGTCCTTGCAAAGATGTTTTTAGCAAAGTTTAGAAAGATTTGGTTTCCAGCCAAGAAACAGATATTACCCATCTGATTAGAACTGCTAATGTTTCAGCACGATGTTAAGGATGTTTTTGCAAGTCTGCTGCTGTACAAAGCTAAGTACTTTCTTTTTCGTTTAGTTCAGTCACAGAACACAGACCCCCTGAAGTCAAAACAACAGTTGGACTTGGAGCGTGCTCACTTCCTAGTTACACAGGCTTTTGATGAAGATGATAAAGGCAATGCAGAAGAAGCTATAGAGTTGTACACAGAAGCGGTGGAACTCTGTTTGAAAACAGTATGTTAAGCTACAGGTTAACTTGGTGGAATTATGTGATGGTAAGAAATTCTTCCACTTACACAAGTGACTGATTCTTAAGGGCTGGCTTAAAAATGGAGTACCTGTATTTCTAAAAAATATTTTTTAATCTTTTTTCCACTGCTTTTTAGTGTTTCTTCCAGTCTTTATGTTATGTTGCTATTCAACACTGTAAATTTATGAGAACTTGTGGTTTATGTGTTTTTCCTGAATGGGACCATACTAAAAACTAGAAATATTCTGGAAATTTTTTCATGTTGATTTTTGCTCTGGAGCAAATGCAACACTAAAACAGAAATTAAAAACAGTTGAAACTGAAGATGACTTGCTAATGTGTCAGCTATGTTACTTTCTGACTACGTTAAGGGAAGTAATTTAAGGGAAATTTTTGTGTGTAACACTTTCTGAAAACATAACGGTCTACTGATGCCAAAACTCATAAAAATACTACTTGATTACTCAGTGCTCAACATTAAAGCTGTTAGAAGTGAATTCCATTCACACTGAAATTATCGGTAAGGATGAATTGGCCATTACTTAAATGATGGAGAATATGATTACAGGTACTGCTTTTTTCCCTTAAGTCCAGTTGCCTTAACTAACTCATTTACAGGAAGAGCTCACCATCATAATGTAACTCCACCAAGTCTGTTTTTCTTTTCCCCTTCTTTTCCCTTTTTATAATGTAAATATATGTGGGTTGTTGGGAGGGGAGTGTTATCTTTGCTGCATGCTAGAGTAAAATCTTCTCTCGAGTCTGTAAGCTGGTTATATATAGGCTAAAAAACTGTGTGATACAGTGTAACCAGATCAAGAGTTAGTAGAACTCCTCTAGTTTTTCCACCTCAGCTGTTGAAGCAGAACATTTTCAGTCTGTTACAAAAAATTTACTGTGGCAGCACACTGTTTTTCCTCTGCTGTGTTCCTCCTTCTGTTGTGTAAGTGCATGCAAATATTATGTATATTGAAGTTAGTCTGAAATGATCTGCTTTTATCGGGTATTTTGTTAGGTACAGATACTACTGAAGTTTCTTTCACTCTTGACTAGTACGTTATTTTGTTGAGATAACTGTAGGCTTTGTCCCTCAAGGTGATCAAAAAGTACCTCCTTCTTGCCAGGATGAAAAAGATTGAAGGAGCTCTGCTACCTTGAAGCTTTACTTCTGTCTTTCTCCTCAGTATATTCAGGTGGAGAGATTTGTTTCATCCTTACCCTTGATGTACTCAAGAGAGCAGCCATTCCTTCTCTTCTATGACTTGACTCCTTGACTCCTAGATGGGTGTGCTGGGGTTCTATCTCCGCTGCTTACCTTCATACATCTTTCAAAGTGTCTTCCAGCCAGGAGTTCTGAAGTGTTAATTTATTTGCAAATGAAAATAGTTGCTTATAGAGAGCTTTTCTAATTTTGTTTCTTGGGGTGAAAGTAGCTTGCCTTTTGTTTCCTCAGTTGACCTAGCTGACCTGGGAGAATTGGTCAAGCTAGAACCTGAAAACTAGAACTTGAAACCTGCTTGTGGGTGTCATAGGAAAAGCTGCACCTCACGTTGTGCCTCTTGCAGATTGTTTAGCTGCAGTAGCCATGCTTCATTTGTAAGGAAAACAAAAGCATAAACTGTCATAGCTGACCTCCCAACTGGGAACAGAAGTCAGCACTCTTGATGTCTGTTTTGGTGCCCTGTCATAGATTATTTTATGCCTCAGATGTGCAAGAACAAGATTTTAAACTTGCAACAATCTTGTTTGCTTGTATTTTATGAAAGTAAACATTCAAAAAAAATTTTTTTCCTAAGTTACCATGATCACTTTTGACTCATTGGGGAAAAGAACTGGAATGCATTTAAGCTCAGTAGTATACGTGACATTTGGTTTTGTCTTCTTTCTGCCCATAGTGTTTTGATATGGTTAATTCTTCTGGCAATTTTTTTTGCATGTACAGTGTTTCCCATGCTGAAGAATTTTAAATATCGGTTCCATTCTATGAGCATTCACTAGAACAGCAAAATTATATTCGCTTATGTAGTATGCTGTTTATGGTGAGATTTAAAAAAAAAAATAAATTTGCTCATTTCAAAAGAGAATTGGAAAAAGTAGCTAGTTACTGTTTGCTGTAATCTATAAGTGTGGAATTTGACAAACTCAGCTTATAAAACATGAGGTTTTTTGATGTGTAGCTTTTTCTTTTATTTTGCACTTAAGGCTACTGAAACTTCAGAAGCAGGCCTCCAGTCAAAACTGAAACAGCTGGCTCGACAAGCACTGGATAGGTGAGTATTGCTCATGTTAGTGAACATACTTGCTCTCAGGTCTAAATGCGCTCTGGGAGTTGGATTCTCAGTCTATCGTGTCTGTCCTGTACTGCAAAGAGTATATGGATTTTGGGTGGACCTAGCTCCTGTAGGGTTCTCCTTGGAGATAGCTGCCAGCTGCCATACTGCTGAATATAGCAGCTGTTGTGCCAGCGCTATGGGAATCTTGGGACATGCAGAATTAGGAAAGGACTGTGTATTTGTCAGTCTTCAGCAATATAAATCAGAGTACTCTACTACAATTTTTGGCTTCTATAAAAAAGCTGAATTCAGGCCAGCACAAAGTCAGACTGCCAGTGTCCCATCATAAGGAAGAAAGCTTGAAAACTGGGAGATACTTACCCTGATGGTAGCAATCTAATTGTATGGGTAGATCTAGTCCAGTGGAGTCTATGTCTGAAACAAGTTGCATGAGTGTAAGTTCAGTGTAACTCTTTACATCAGCTGTATGGTGGCGAATAACGGACTGTGTTGGGCTAAGTTTCAGTATAAGCTGGTTTTCAGCACTTCTCAGTCTGTGTTCAGAAAAAAGCCCGTATTTTGCGTATGTGTGACTATCAGCAGCTCAATGCAACAGCAACAAAATACGGCTCTTGAATACACAGTCTTCAAGCAGTTGAAATTCTGGGTTGTGAGAATGCTAGTGGGTTTTTACTGCTGTTGTAGCTGCTAGACAAATTAAATCCTGAAGGTATGTGAGGATGCAAAACAGTTTTCTCTCTCTGTGTTTCAGTGGTCTTGTTCTGAAGTTCCAGATAATGAGCACTTCCACAAATTCTCTTATTAACTTAATTTAAAGGCAACAAAAATCTAATAAGTTCTGCCAAAAGTACCTTATATATGAGTTGGAAATGATATATTTTAATTGATTCTAGAACAGAAAAATAAAGAAGTACTGGCATCAGAAATTTTTCTTAGGAAAAGTGGTGTTGGTCAACCTGGGCGTTTGTTCATTCCATTTAACATACGTGGGAACATGAACCAAGCAAATCAATAATTGAACCACAACTGTATTTTTATCATTGTTGTAAAAAAAAAATGCATTTTTATTTGCTTTAGAGCAGAGGCACTGAAGGAATCTGTGTCAAAGTCATCTCAGAAGGAGAAGTCAACTGCAGCTAAACCAAATCAGCCAGTCAGAACATTTTTTCCATTGGGACCTGATTTTTCTTTAAATGATAAACCGCAGACAATCAGAGCAGTACAAGCTAGCGAACCTCAAGGTCAGAGATACACTGCCGAGGAGATTGAAGTACTCAGGTAAGTTGAAGACCAGTTTTTCCAAAATATTATCATTTGTGCTCACATTCTTTGTGCATCTTACACAGTAGATTGAAACAGCTGAAGCATGAGGTGTATACACAGAGGGCTGGAAAACCGCCTCGTACAAACCCATTGCTGATATTACCTACATATTAATAAATTCTTCTGTTCTCTATGGTAATGTAATTAGTGGCTTTTATTCACAGAGCATACTTTCTAGTTTGTATTTAGAAGACAATTTCTTGTCGCCGACTGCCAAGATTATTTTTCATAGCCTTATTTTTGTATGTTGCACATAACCTACCTGAGTTCATGAAAGTTCTGGCTCTGAGAAGCCAAGGTGCAAAGATGTTTTTATAGATTATACAACTACTACTTCACTGGAAATTGAAGCAGCATATTATTTTGTAGGACTCTGACTTCTGTTACATCCAGTTCCTTTTACTCTGATTTTTATTATAGGTAGAATAAGCTACAAATAATCCATAAAACCTTTAGTCTAAATTGTGAATTTTGAAAACTATCGAAGATATCTTAAAAAAAATAATGCATTGTCTGATAAGTGTTTCAACCTTCCTCCTCCTTCTCCACATGCAATAAAAAAAGATTGTGACAGAGGTGATGCTCAACACTGTCCAGGATTTGATCATAAAACATTTAGTCTGCTTGTTGACTTTAGGGGACTTAAATGGACTGACGATATGGTCATGAAGATAGAAATGCACGTGTGTTGGAAAAGTTGCAGAACATTAAAAAATGCCTTATTAAAATTTCACTTTTTTTCCTCTTGTACTGCCTGTGCTGTGAATGTTTCTGGTTTTGTAGATGGCTTGGGGGGGTTGGGTTTTTGTGGTGGTGTTTCAGTCTTGCAAGAGAACGTCAAGTTCTTTCACATCTTTAATCATCAGTTAACTCCTTGTTTGAAACTGAAATTACATTTACATTTAAATTTTCATTTTTTTAGAAAATATTCTGTGCACTTTAGTCAAAAATGTACTAATAAACGTGCAGTATTTTCATTATTGTTGTTTGACAAAGTATTCCAAAATACAGCGCCAATTAGATGAAATCTAAGTGTTGCTAATTGTTAATTGCTGTCAACTTATCCTAAGACTCTCTTTAATGAGAGGCTTAAGTGACTTGAGAAGTTCTATTTAGACAAATGTAGTTTTAAATGTTACTTCTAGAACTATGAAGAGGTTTGTGGCTGACAGTCATTTCTGTGCTGTCATGGTGACTTGTCGGCAGGTAGGTACTAGCAGGAGTAGTGACTGAGCCAGCAAGTACGGCACATTTCAAACCCAAATAAATACAGTGGTGGTTTCATTTCCAAGAAGTAGTGGTCTTGTTTTCAGAAGCACTGTGTCCTGTTAGTTTTAAAAAACTAATTTTGTTGTTATCTTCTGGAATTAAGTCTTTGGAAGATGATAGATAGGTTTGTAACTTTTTTTTTTTCTTATGACTTGCAGGAAGACTTCAAAAATTAATGGCATTGAATACGTACCCTTCATGAGTGTTGATCTGAGGGAACGTTTTGCCTTCCCTATGCCATTTTCGTAAGTGGGATTCAATTAATGAACTTTACTTTGGTTTTTATTGCCAAATCTTTCCCGTATTTGATATTTCTATGTTTTCTTTTCCAGAGTTCAAAATTAAGTAGGCTTTCAAGCATAATTCAGGCAGAGATATTTAAATACTACCACTTCCTTCTTCCAGTCTGATCTTAAAACTTTAGTGTACGCTGATCCTGCTCTGCAATGCTTTTGCAGTTGTGCCTTCAGGCCTATAAGGACAACATTATACTTGGCTTTTTGGGGTATTGGGCTGGGCTGGCAGCTTGGGTCCATTTCCTGATTCTGCTGCATGCCAGTGGCTCAGCTACCTGTAAAATGAAGGTGCTAAGCTGTTCCCTCTGTAAGGGACTGTTCTGTGGAGAAGTGATATGTAACTGCTAGACCTTCATTCATGAGCAGTAATAATATGTTAAGATTACATAGCCATAATAGACAAAGGCACTTGGGGTGGGTTGGTTGGTTTTTTGGTTTTATGGGTTTTTTCTGCTAAAGGCTTGTCAATCAGACAGGCCTCAGTAATTTCTGAACTAAAGAAACTTGTTATTATTAGTTCATCATATTGAAATAAGGTGGGGAATTTGAGTTTCTGCTGGTGTAAATGGCTTTTTGGAATTCCCTTCTTCAGTTCTGTATGAAGGAAGCTCTTGTTTTTTATTTCATGTTTTTAATATTTTTTCTTTTTTTCCCTAACAATCACAAACTTAGTAGTAGCGTTCTTTGAAATTATTTTACAGCTCTGTATACAAAGCTGTGTTGTTCTGCGCATATTTTGTCCCATCTATCAGGCAGATATATAAGACTGGACATACCATGAAAAGCTTTTCTAAACTGCTATTGATTTATTTCCACTATTGATTTATTTCTACTTTTTTCTCTCTTAAATCTAGTGATAAATGTGGGAAGTTACCATTATCCCCCAAACAGAAAGCAATGTTTGCCAAGTGGGTGCGACCAGATGACATAACGAATAACCCTACGATGATTTATACCGTGTCGAGTTTCAGCATAAAGCAGGTAAGTTGATCCTGAAGAGAAATGTGTGCTGCTAGCAGTTCATTGCAGGGGACCTTCTTGTTCAGAAAGGCATCGCCAAATGCAAGAGTGCTTTCCTTGGCTCTCATGAGAGGAAACAAACGAGTAGTATCGCTTCAGATTCCATGCATTTTCTAGCCATGAGAACAAACAGGTGTGTTAGCAGTGAAAGTGAAAATCAGATTTTGAATTCCAGCTGAAAACCCTCTTTTTCAGAAATAGCAGTAAGGTTAGTATGAAAAAAAGGCAAGGTGTACTCTGCAGCACATTGTTCACTTAATTTACTGCATGGAAAAAATAGTGAGCAAGATTTTTAAATTTTTATTTGACGGGAAGCAGAGTGGCCTGTTGAGAATAGTGGCAATGTCTTGCTTAGTGTAAAGTTGCAGATGACCCAAGGTATTCTGAAATCAGCAATAGATTATACCATTGGATATGGTTTGTATTACACAGTGTGTTTCGCGGAGGAGGAAAGAAGTGTGAGTGAATGCTGAGGTATCTGCACTTGCCTCTGATTGTCAGTAATAATTCTAACTCTGGTTTGCTCTGTGGTGGCCTCATGTCAGCAAGCATAGATTTCCTGCCTTTTTAGTACTAACTTTATTCTTCTTACTTCAAATATTTCCCTTTTGAAGAGAATTACAAACTGATGATATTCCTTCCCTCCACACACCCTGTTTGACTTTCAGTATCTAAGTAATTAGTAAATGTCCTCACCAGTTTTCTTTTCTTTATAGACAATAGTGTCGGATTGTTCTTTCGTGGCATCGCTAGCTATCAGTGCGGCATATGAAAGAAGATACAACAAAAAATTGATCACAAGGTAAGTAGCTGTTGGTTTCTGATATCTTTGCAGACTTAATACTGCCAAGCTTTTGCAATACATTCTTTGACAGCTGCACACACTGAAAACTAGCATTTGTTTCACCTTCATCTCCCTGGGACTCATGTGGCTTCAGCACTTCTGAGAGGGAAGCCAACATTATGTAGATATGTATACAGACACTGGAGTCTAACTTCAGGTGTGCTCTGAGGTATAATAAATGATTTGGAAGGTTTTGTTTAGTTTTTAATAAGAATTTTACTTACAATGCTTTATAGGTTTATTTTCCTACTTTGCTACGTGAACTGCTGTGCAACAGGTGGTCCATCTTGCATCTCATTGTAGAATTAACGTTAACAACACTACCTCAGTTCCACTTAACTGGTGTCCTGTGATAAATTTGGCATGGGTTTGGCAGACTCTGCCGGCAACCCGTTGCCAGACCAGTGTGTGAACGTTGTTCCTGGATTCTTTTGTTTTAACCTATACTCATTAGAACTGAACTTGTATTCTTTTCAAGAGCCACGAGTTCTGCACTGCCTTCTTCTTCTTCAAATGTTTGACTTGTCATTCAGACAAATACTGTGTTTATACTACAGATATGCAAATACCATTTGTTTAACAGTAAGATAAATTTGTTTGCCTTGCTTCTATTGGAGAAACAATTAGGCTACTTAAGTTCTTTTTACTACTATATTAAGCAGAGAACTAGAGCAAGAGCAAGGCCTGAAAAATAAAACCTATTTAAACATCATCGTCATTTTTACTAAATTTATGTTACTCTTTCATTAAAAATTCCATATTTGTGTTCAGTGTAAATTCCAGAAACAGACTATGTTAATCTCACTGTTATTGTTATCAGTGTGTGTACAGCCAAGTCATTTATGTCACAATATCTGCTTTTTTTTTTTTTTTAAAACAGTATAATTTACCCTCAGAATAAGAAAGGAGAACCAGAATATAATCCATGTGGCAAATACATGGTGAAGCTTCATATCAATGGTGTACCTAGAAAGGTAAATGTGTTTGGGGGGACTTAATACTGTTACAGTTTAAGTCATGTATTTTAAAGGCTTAACCTGCTTCACTGTGAAGCTATGCTTGCATAGCAAAAACTTTAGATACGTTTTGCTGGGAGGTGTTTTTTAATTGTTTAACCTTTTGAGATTCATTTTGATTGTGAAGTATGTAACAGAATGTAGGTATTTCTTTTCCAGACGTTCATGAAAATAGCCTTACTCACATTAAATTCATGAAAAAAATCCTTATATTGCTTAAAAGAATGATGAAAACCATACAGGAACAAAATTACGCATCCCATATTTATGAATGGGATGTGCAAGTAATCTACTTTTCCACTCCATCTTAGAAAGGAAGTTACAGAACTAAAAAGGACAGAGGGCGACATCCAGGAAGAGTATAGACATGGAATGACTGTAGAATAATAACTCAAATGACCACAGATTTTTGGTAAGGAGAGGAGATGCCTGAAGATACATGATAGAACTTTGTAAACTCACAACCAACTTCATTTTCTTTTCAGTGCAATAAATAAGAGCATAAAATAATGTATTTCTTCATAGAATACTTAGCTGTAGCACTGATTATTGCAGATCATAGTGACTGATGAATGGTTATGGGAGTTCAGAAGTTGAGTGGTTATATTCACAGAGTGGAGGAGTAAGGGGAAAGTCCTCAAAGGGTATTAATTACCAAGATATAACCTCTGGTTCAGGAAGTCCTTGAGTTGCAAAAATCCAGAATCTGAATGTTTCAGGGAAGTATCATTTATGTGCTTGCCTTGCTCTTAATATGCTATCCAAAAGATCTCCTAATGGCTGACTTTTGTTAGGATGAATGGCCGTTTGCTCTTCTATGAAAAGGTTTATTCATTCCTGCACAGATAGGATTTGACCAGAAAATGTGTTGCATTGGTAGCCTGTATGGGTAATGGATTAATGCCAACGTGAAACTGAAACATCCTTTCTGGGAAAACTGTTTCAGACCACTACAAATACTGCAGTAACAATCTGTAACAATGCCAAATATATTCTACCTACTTTAAAGAAGAAATGTTAATACTTTCACAACTACTGCTTTGGATTGTTTTACCTTTCCAGAGAGAAGAAAGTTAAATCTTCAACTGGAGACTAGGAAAGTGATGTGACACATACTTTGTTTCCTTATAGATAAATAACCGTTCATTTTTCTGCTGGCTGCCAAGCACAGTCCATGCTCTGTTTCCTAATTAGATGAGGAATATTGGTAGGCTTTTCTTTACTTTTTATGCTGGTAATTACGCTGAACTTTTCTGTCGCTACCTTTTACAGTAGATATTAGACACTTTTACAAGAGCGTACTGTCATCATCCTCATTTTACAGAGGAGAAAGCGAGACTGGTGATCACAGGTCACCCAGTAGACCAGTGCAAGTAAGAGCTGGCAACAGAATTTCTTGTTCACTTAGGCAAACCACTGCAGGATTGATAGAGGCGTCCATATGTGAGAACGATGGTCAGGTCTGGCTGTGTCTGAGAAGTTGTGTATTAATGAGAGTTTGGTTTTATTTTTTAAATACTTCCAAAATACTTTATTAGCTTTATGATGATTTTTCATTTGTTTATTTCACACAGGTAATCATAGATGACCAGTTACCTGTTGATCATAGTGGGGAACTTCTCTGTTCTTATTCTAACAATAAGAATGAATTATGGGTGTCACTAATAGAAAAAGCTTACATGAAGGTCATGGGAGGATACGATTTTCCTGGATCAAATTCTGTAAGTACTAGATTATTTCTAAGAGGCAAAAATTCCACTTAGATAATTTTGGGTCAAATAATTTTCCTTCTAGTGAAGTTGAAATGAATTGCTTGGGCAGGCAAGTATTGGGTTTGTTTTCTTAATTTTTTTTTTTCTATTTTTTCTTTCACAAATTTGCTTAGCTGTACTGAATGAGATGTATTCCATCAAAACAGAGTGAGCAAGACATCTCAGTTCTCTGACTAAATCTCAGTTCTCTGACTGCAGGATTGGCACTTATGGTTGGGAAGTATATGTGTTTATATAAAGTCTAGATGAAAGTGTTGGGTGAAGTCATAAATTTTTTGCCCTTATCAATACTGCTGATTTTGGTTTCTAACTGTCATTTAATAAATAGGCTAGTTCTCCCTCATTAGGTGGGGGATTCAGCTAGGAAGGGAGCAGGCTAGTCCTTTAGTACATCTATATAGAGGGAGCAAGTGCTTTGATCTGCGCAAGTTTGTTTATCAGATTGTTCCACTCATTTACATAAATACGTATCGGGTTCCTATAATGTGGTTACTAAAGAAACAGTCGTCATACTGCAGATAAACTGACGTGCAAATTATTCTTTCAAAGAGGGACGGTTTACTGAAATGAGTAGCCTGCATAATCTTCACTTATTACTTAAGAAGCATTTCTGATTTTTATCTTAAAATTCTTTAAAATTGTAACAGTACATTTTTTTTATTTCATGGTGCTGTTCGCATTCTAGTTGGTGTCTTCATAATCGCGTTCTTGGAGGGTATACTAGGTAATCACCACCTTTTGAAAAATGATTATGGAGACACGGGGCTTTGTATAAGGTGTAAATATAGCATACGTTTTTACGTATGGTTATGTCGGTGCTGGGCGGCTTTGTTTTGGAGGACAGAAGCTGGTGAGAATAGCTGTGTTTTATTCCCATTGTCATCCTCTAACTTGCTATCTGGAAAACCAACTTGACTTGTGACATTTAATCGCCACCCTTCCCATCCCCTCTGCTTTCAACTGTATTATAGCTTCCTTGTATAATCAGAGTTACATACTGGCTGTCTTGTACTTGTAATTCCTCTAGTTCCCACCCACCGGTCCTGGTTACTGGCACTTCAAGCATTTCTAGTCTCTGCTTTTGCTTTGAGTACAAAGCAAAAGAAAAGGGAATAAGCAGTATTTCAAGGAGGTGAAATGGGGAGATTAAGATGTCTTTTTATGAAAATAAATGTCAGTGTCAGCTTTACGAAAAGGAAGAAAAAACCCAAACCCTGAGCCTTAGAAGTAAAACTTAATAATTTTAAATGGATATATAATAGCCAGGTTCCAAATGGTACTTCCGAGACTGTGGTTTAAAAGTCTGTGAATCAATGAAATAAATAGAACACATCCTAGAATTGAGCACGATTGATCGTTCTTTTATGCTTCCATAGCTCTGAAATTCCAGTTTGTTTCATCAGTTCACTTTCCAGCTTTTTTTTTTTTTTAAGAGGCTATTTGGAAATGTTATCCTAAACTGATCAAATAAGTTTTTGTTTGCTTGTTTTAATATAGTCTTAATCTTGAGCCTTTTATGTGTAGAGCTATATCGTAACTTGTGTATACTTGATTTCTTTCAAGGCGCTTTATAACTTGTGTACAGACATCATATGCTTCTAGGTGGATTATCTATTCTGATTTCTTTTGAATGCTTGCATTTCAGAACATTGATCTCCATGCACTGACTGGATGGATACCTGAAAGAATTGCTATGCACTCTGACAATCAAGCCTTCAATAAAGATAGTACTTTCAGAATGCTTTATCAGAGGTAGAAGTTTGTTCTTTCCAAAGTTATTAAAATGCTTGCTGTGTAGTAGTTGCATTACTGTACAAGCAGTACAGTCACCAGAGATCCTTTGATAGCATTTTGGTACTACTACAAATGGTGCTTTATAAAAGCTCCGTATGCTTCCTGGAAGAAATAAAATTGAGGTATCGGTGGCTTTGATAGAAGAGTAAAATATTGTGGAATTTTGTTTGAGGTGATTTTTCTTCTTTACATATGAAGAAAAAAAATAGTAGCCCATTTATTGATGAAGAAAGTACAATATAGAGTTAGAAGAGCAGCTCGGAACCAATATACAAGTTAAAAACATTTAAAAAGTAGAAGGAAATGTGTTCTCTGTTCCTACACAGTTCGCCAGAACTTTGACATTGATCTGCTGTCCTTAGCATGCAGATATAATACAGTATTTCTAATCATATCACAAGATCTTGATTATTATGCCCCATTAGTAAATCTGGAGGAGCCACAAAAGTCTATCAAAACTGCAATACTGGTCTTGAGACCTACCATGACAATTCTACTTACGGTGAAAGATAGAGCTGTAATTTATAAATGTCAGCTAGCAAGTACTTTGATTTCTTTCGTAACTGTTTTGCGCAACCAATTTCTTACGCATTTCAGTGCAGTAGAAGGGGGATATTCTGTTGACTGAAACATCTGCATTCATGATAAAAGATCGTGACTCTCTTTCTACAGTGCTTTTTCAGTTGGTTTGGAGCTCTCAGTTGATTGTCGATAACTTTTCAGATATTCCAGTGTTGCAATTTGGAGATGTGACTGCAATTAGGATGGGATCTAGCCATTATAGCGTCACTATTGTTCACCTGTGCCAGGCTGAATATGTGTCGATCCATAGTCCAGTGACCCTGTCAACTGTTTAGGGACGCTGAGTATGTACTTGGGTTTTAGCAGGGGCTGGGAAACATGCTAGTGTGTTTTTTTAACAATAATTGTTGCAAAATTAACAATTGCAATTCAGAACAATCACTGAATTCAGTTGTTGTGAGTTGACAGTTCAGACCCTGTAAGGCCTATGCTGGTGGACACAAAACTTTGGTGTAAATACCTGCAAAAGTGTAAAAGCATGAACTTCTCATTCTTCAGGTTTTAGGAAGCTCCTTCAGAATCCTGGGGGTGTGACAGAGTTGTTAATTTGCTGTATGCAGTCATTTACTGAATGGTGATAAAACCACATCTGTGTTCAGCTGAAGACCTGCGAAGAGTGTCTTTAAAAAGTGACACAAGTTGAACTTCAGGTTGATAAATGCTGATTTTTATTTATAAAAAATATGAAATTATATGAAAAGAATAATTTTTCACTTAAAGCCTATTCTTAAATGCTGAGAGAAGGTTCCACTTTCTCAAGCTTCTTCAGGAGGGATTTCTGCTGATTAAAAAAACCCCTGTATTCCTGTTTTTATAAAGCAGGGTCATGCTAATGCACAGTGTAAAAACATACTGTTACAGTGCCTGGCAAATGCTAGTTTGCAACTTGCAAGATTTTAATTAAGCTGTTTTTCACCTCTTTTTCAACAGATTTCACAAGGGAGATGTCCTTATCACAACAGCAACCGGGGTGATGTCTGAAGAGGAAGGAGAAAAATGGGGTTTAGTTCCAACTCATGCGTATGCAGTCTTGGATATAAGAGAATATAAGGTATCATGTAAAACTGAAGATGTTTTCAGATGCCTGTTTGAAACCTGCATGAATGGGTAGCTACAGATTTTTTGCTGTAATGGCTAATATAGTTGATTTTATCTTGAGCTCCATTGGGAAATTCCAGAAAGCTTAATGATGCTGTATTTTCTTGAGCTATTGGTCCATATTCCATGTTAATATAAATACAAAAATTACTTTGACAAGATGAATCCAGCAATTTTATTTTGTATTTCTTTAGGGACTTCGATTTCTTCAGTTGAAAAATCCCTGGAGCCACTTGCGTTGGAAGGGACGATACAGTGAAAATGACATAAGAAATTGGACCCCAGATTTACAAAAATACTTGAACTTTGATCCAAGAACAGCTCAGAAAATAGACAATGGTAATAAGGTTTAAAAAGTCACTATCTTTTCAGATAATGTAGATCTTTGTGCTGTATCCCTGCAGGAAGGTGGAAAGAAATGCTTCAGCACAAGGGTGAAACAAATGCTAGAAACTAAATAGCCCGAAAGTTTAGGAAGTATTTGTGTATTTAAATCTGTCATTTCAGGTTTGACTGGAGTTTAAGTAATCTGGACAGTTGAATATATCTCAAATTCATTGACAATAAGTTGCCTCCTTGCTCAAGTGTCGCTATCTCAGTATCCAGACGTGGGGGAGTTTGGTGCAAAGATACCATTCTGACAATAAGCTGTATAACGCTGCTTTTTAATATGTGAATAGACTTTGTGGGATGAAGCATCGTGGAAATTCTCCAACATTTGCAAATACGTATCGACATGCTTACTGTAATCCGTATTTAAATTAGTCTTGCCTGTATCTGAGGTTATGTGCTGGAGGCAAGTGGGGTTTTTTCCCTCGTGTTACATTAATATAGCTATTAATAAATCTTTACATACACTCTGTTTCCAGCTGTAAGAGTAGATTGAGATCTGTCTTTGAGACAGTGGTACTACTGTGTCACTGTCCAGAGAAGCTACTGGGAACGATGCCCGGTGTTGTCCTGTCCCACCTTGGCTAGGGAGCAGCAGAGCGTGTAGCATCTGGGAAACCTGTACGGGTTTGCTGGTGGAAGGACAGGTGGCTGACAGTTCAGAAATTCCACAGAAGCTGCGTTTTACATTCAGAAAGAGATGTCTGTTCTTTTTATAGTATCCCAGTTGCTGTCTGTGTACCTCTGAGGGAGCCCTTTTGTTCAGTGCTGTTCTATTTTGACAACAGTATGCATTCAAACCTGTTAAATTATAGCATTTATTGATAAGCCTTGTGCAAATGCATAAGGAAAACTTTTGATTTAAATATAAGGATGGCAGCCCTGGCTTTGGGACAGTTATGAGAGATTAGCTCATTATTTACTTACCAATTCATTTAGGAAGGAATATATATCTGTAATATCTAGTAGTTAAAATTTATGTAAAATTACATCAGGAAATTTAAGGCAGTTGTTTCTTCTGACTGGATTTACACTCTGGTCTTGTTGTCTAAGTGTGTAGCTATTATGACTGCATTTTTATTTTTTTTTTAGTGCTGCAGGATCTGCAACTGCTTATGTCAGAGTTGAATTATAAGGCTGTTACCTTTCTGAGAGTTCATTTCATCAGGAATCTGTTGGCTTGCAGGCATGAGTTGGCTGGAGTTGCAATTAAGGGAGCTCTGGGAAATTAGAATAAACGTGTGAGAATGTTGTAAAGATGAAGCAGATTCAGGGTGCCAAAGCAAGTCGCTTGGGTGTTGGAGAAAGTATCGTGGAAATACATTCAAATGTACTCAGGTGTTGAGTGAATACTTGATTGTGCTGGCTGACTGCTGAAGTAGCTTGTTGAATTGGGGGAACCTGTTTGACTATGTAATTTATTTTTTTCAGAAACCTAGGAAAGGGGAAAGCAGGTCAGAATCGCCTAATGATTTCTCTTTCAATACAACACATTCTCTCGTACCTTCTGCTTAGTGCTTGAGAATGAAAAGCATTCTGACAGCTTCAGAAAGTCCTTGATGATAAGCAGAGACTAACTTGTTTTTCTTGGTTTAACTTGCTTGTTTTGGGGCTTAAGATTAAATTTAGAAATTTGGGCAATGCAGACACTACCAAGTTTTACAGAAATGTTGGTTTATCGTTTACTTGGAAAGAGACTTTTGAAAAACAAGTAAAATCAAGGTGTCTGGTAAGGAAACAATAACAGCATTTCCTTTTTTAGGCATTTTCTGGATTGCCTGGGAGGACCTGTGTCAGTACTATGATGTTATTTATTTGAGTTGGAACCCAAGTCTTTTTAAAGAATCTACGTGTATTCACAGGTTGGTCCGAGGGAGAAAACTTTTGTGTCAGTATCTCACTAAATGTTGTGATGTGGTGTTTCCTTCCTTCCGTTCTTCCTAGTTACTGCTGAAGAGGTTGAACTCCAACCATGCTGCCCTGAGCCTGACTTTACACTTTTAAATTCTCAGCCCAGGCTTTGTTTTTGACTACTTTGGTAACATCGTTGAAACTCCAGTGACCTTTGTGATGTTGCTGTGCACCCTTTAAGGTTCTGTAACCAGATTCTGACCTCAGTCCCACATCTCTCTATCGAAATAGAAATCAGATTTTTGTGCAGTCCGTCTCTAAGCAGTGACCAGACAGTGCTCGAGTGGCCTAGTTTTTATTTGGAATTAATTTACCTGGCCAGTTGCAAGTCATTTGTGCAGTGCATGTTACCTTTACAGGTTCACTGATGTCAGAGTAGTTTAACTAATTCCATTTTTCACCAGTTGTAGTTATCATAAGGAATTTTCCTTACCTGCTGATATATTTTTTTTTTTCTGAACATGATACCTGTCTCCCACCTAGTATCCATCACAATTCAGTCTTTTCGTTCACGCAGTTTGAGGATAAGTGTGAGTCTCTGTTTCAGAAAGCAAGGGTTTCTCTATTTTATGACCCCGTGATACTGCACTTTTGCACTGCTTCCACACTGTTTCTGCCTAAGTTAGCTCATACAATCTCCTTCATCCATAGTGCAACTGCTGAGTTTATCTGTCAAGGCTCCTTCCATCTTTGTGTTCAAATTAATTCTGAAATACACTCTGGTGATGTAGCACGATGAGGTAATGCATATGCTAATCTCAAAGCTCATCTAGTCTGTCTTTCCTTATATTATCAGTGATTGTC